TTTTCCTAGTAATAGGAGATATTTGAAATATGAGAATATGCTAAGATTTTGTATATACTTGTATTTACGTTCCTCTTTCCTTTTGGGCTTGGGATCCCTATTTATAGGGAAAATATGCATACATGCTGCAACTCCTGTCTTTTCATTGGAATGTCGAGCTAAAGAAGTACAGTGGATGGTGCGATAAGATTGGCGACGAGCTGGATTCTGTCAGATTATTTCAGAGCATTAATTGAAAGTGGCCCCCATCAATTAATGCATTACTTAGTGGGGGATGCTAACACTTCTGATTGGAGGATTATGTGAGCGCTGATGTAAGATCTTTCCAGCTACATTTCTGTGATTGGTGGCTCATATATCTTGTTAGAGATTCTCAATCATTACATTCTTCCTTGCCTTGAAAGACTACACAAGCTTCTTGCAGAAGGTATCCATATCCGAACTGACCTCACACGACCTAACTCAACATATGTTCTACTAATGACGTGGATCAATCCGACCTTAATTACCTTGGAAGTCGGTGTCAACAAAAAACATTAAACAATTCTTCTCCAATTCATGAGAAACATATAAACATATTCTTGACTTATGGTTGATTATAATTTTAAAGTTTTGATTATAACAAACAAATTAATCTTGTTTACCAACAAGTTGAATTCAAGTTATTATAATTTTTAAAACATACTATGAAAAATTGATTGATTGTCATCAAAAAATCAAAATTTATCATCACAAATTGGAGTCACTAAGATGGCCAAGATCAAAGTAAAACTCGTCCAAGCATTCAAGAAAAGATCCTTCAAGACGAAACCCTAAAGAGCTATGGAAATTTTAAGAACTAGGCCTTTTAGATCAAATGTAAAGGTACCAACACTTTGATATTTAATAATAAATGTTTTAGGCTCAAAAACTTTTTTATGCACTAAAAGCTATGTTGTGCATTAAAAGTTATTTTGATAAAATGTTTTGATCAAAAGTAAAATTGATTTTCAAAATGATACTTATACTTGGATCATATTTTAAAAACATCATTTACCCTAAAAACTTGTTTTAAAACATCTTTAAAAAATCTACATTAGTCAAACTATTCGAAACGGATCAAACGGGGCCAAAATGTGAAAATTGACAAAATCAGTCGTGGTGGTTGATAGCCGGTCAACCGGCGGCGGCCGACCAGCCTAGAGTGGAGGTCGACCAGAAAGGTCTAACATTCCAAAATTTGACCGTCCTAAATTTCAGTTGCACAACTGCTATTTTAGTCTTCCGGACATGAGGTGGTCAACTGGCACTCTTCCGAACAGTCATAATTTTTTTCTTTTTTGAACTCTATAAATACTATTTCATTTTGCATTCATTGCAATATTTTTACTATTTATCAAATGGATGTTAACAGTGCATTTCTAAATGACTTCATTCAAGAGGAAGTCTTTGTAGAGCAAACCCCCTGTTTTAAAAATCGCAAGTATTCGAATAATTTTTTCAAATTTAGAAAGGCTCTTTACAATTTAAAGTAAGCTCATAGAGATTGGTATGAAAGGTTGAGCAAATTTCTACTCTCAAACGATTTTTTAATAGGGAAAGCGGATATACCCTCTTTATTAAAACCAAAAAGAATTATATAATCATTATTCAAATTTATGTTGATAATATTATTTTTGGTGCAACTAATTTTTCTCTATGTGAAGAATTTTCTAAATGTATGAGCAAGGAGTCTAAAATTAGCATGATGGGAGAACTCAAATTATTTATTAGACTCCAAATTAGACAAACTAATAATGAGATATTCATTAGTCAAAATAAATATATATGGGACGTGCTCAAGAGGTTTGAAACGGAAGACTTGAAGCCAATGAACACTCCGTTGAGCTCATTCATAAAATTGGATAAACATGATCAAGGTGCTTCCGTTGACGTAACTAAATATTAAGTTATGATCGGATCCCTTCTTTATTTAACCGCAAGTAGGTCCGATATTATGTTTAGTGTGTGTTAATGTATTAGTGCCCAGTTTGTTTTGGATTAAAATCAGATTTTAATATAAATCAAAGTCAAACAATCAATATTAACTACATCTTTTATAGGTCTTACAATTTTCAACCACACATTTCAAAAATTTCTATCACAATCTACTAAAAATTTAATTTTAATCTCCACCAAACACCAACTACATTTCAATCAAATCCTAAAGAATTATGTCTTAGTACTGTAAAAAGAATTTTTAGATGTCTTAGTGACATTAGAACCTTAGGCCTTTGGTATCCAAACGGTACTCACATTGATTTACTTAGTTATTCGGATGTCGATAGGGCCAGTTGTACAATTGATCGCAGGAGCACTAGCGGAACATGTCATTTTCTTGGGTTTGCAATTGTGTCGTGATTTAGTAAGAAACAAAATTTCGTTGCATTGTGTACCACCGAAGCCAAATATATCTCGGTGGATAATTGTTGTCCCAAACATTATGGATGAAACAAACCTTTAATGATTATCACTTATCATTTGATCATATACATATTATGTGTAATAACACTAGTGCCATAAATTTATCAAAAAATTCCATCTTGCATTTTCGAACAAAGCATATGGAGATTAGACACCACTTTCAACGAGATCATGTACAAAAGGGAGACATTGCAATAGAATTTGTGAACACGGAAAATCAATTGGTCGACATTTTCACTAAATCCCTAGTGCTTGATCAATTTTCACATATTTGAAGAATTTGGGTATTATTGATGAATTCGAAGTACATGGCTAAGTTATATTTTTATAATATATGTTCTTATATGATTAATTCATATATGCGGTGTTGTTTTAACATTTGTTGTATATTTGATTTAGTATAGTATGCAAAAAAAAAATCGAATGGCATCCTGTTGCCAGGACGTGGTTGGCCAAAAAGACAGAACTTTTCCATAAAAGTTGTTCGGTCGATCGGATAGACTCGATTTTCAAGTTTTAAAAAGCTTCATTCCTTCATTTTTCACCATTTTCTCTCACTTTTCTTCTTCTCCATAGATCCACTTTCAATCTCATTATATACACCATTAATCTTCAAAATCTCCACAAGATTTCAAAAATTCATCACTTTTTTACTTCAAATCTCTTAAAAAACCACCAATTTTTATCAACCACTATCTTCAATTCTCTCTTTGATGGTTGGTCATGCCCTAGTTTTCTCTTCCGAGTTTATTTGCAAATTTTCATAATGTCAGGGGTCAAGATGCCAAGTAAGAAGACAAGAAGAGCCGAGAGGCTACCAACTCCTTCATCGAAAGAAAAATCTCCTTTGTGAGCAAATCCCTTTTGACAAATCTCAAATTCTTATAGGTAAAATTGTTGATTTTTCCTCCTTTACATTCAAAGCTCAC